TCTCTCTCTCTCTACAAATAATTAACAAATAATTTATATATTAAATAAATTTTATAAGTTAAAATATTGAAAATTGCGACTTAAAATAAAATCTACAAGTGTATAACATTATAAATTCTAAAATATTCAAGAAAATTAATTGTAAAATTTCAAATAAAACTTATTTTTACATATTTTATTATACTCCGGTAAAATTTTATCTGTTATATTTTGTTTATGCACGCTGTCATCGATTTACTTAACTTCTCAATCGAAAGAATCCCGGTATAAAGCACTTACAAATGGATTCCATATGTGTTGATTCATTGATTTTATACAAATTTTTTTAGATAGTTTTATTATCAAGCAAACTGTTCATGTAAAGTTATTTAATGCACTTTTCTCATAAAATATAAAAAGAAATTTATAATCTTTTATAATAAAAAAATATGCATGTGTGTGAGTTTATAGTTAACGCAAACAAATTTTAATCAAAATCGATGAATCACGTTCTTTTCGTTAATTTTATCAAAATAAACTTCACGATGATGCATAAATTAAAAAATATGAAGTTTAAATTTCAATTATGTAAAAAACTTAAATTTAAATATTTTTTATCGGATTGAAGTAAAATAAAGATTGTCTTCAACATACTTAAAAATGATATCGTTATTATCGCACGATGTAGCATATTCTGAATAGGCAAACACATAGTAAGGAGAATCGATGCAACGGACGGTAACCGACGTTAAACGGAGATTCGTGTCGCTGTTTGCGAGACGGTCAGGGCGGAAAATCGATCTAGAGCCCTGTTTGCCCGTTAACGCCGGACGTGACATTAAATGCAGATGCAAAGTTCACAGTGGCGTTTACTGACAACGTAGGTATATCGATGGCAGCCATGGCGGCCATAAATCGCATAGGCATTACGATAGTCCATGTTCGATCGCTAGATGTATAATATACGGGGCGTGAATGACTTCATATTAAACCTGCAATAGGGCAGGAGGTCAAGCAAGATTCTCTTCTTGGAACGGCAAAAAAACTTTTACTAAGTGTAACACAACTTCATGACCTGACATTCATATTATATTAAAAATTCTGCTTCTTGCATAATGTAATATGCAAAATATAATGTATAATTTGCGCAAAATTAATAGTAATTACTCTCATTTTTTTTTTCAGATTTTCACATTGATTCCATAAGTTTTTAGATAAGAATTGAATATGATTTAATATATTACCATCTGCTGCCATCGGTTCGTTACCGCTATTTCATATGTAGCGAGAACAATTGTGGAGGCTGAAAATCACAGCGCATAGAATATGTAATGAACAATTGTGAAATGTCGCGAATCATGGAAATAAGCAGAATAATGTCAGCGATCCGTTGAATAGTTATACTTTTTTCGACTTTGCTAGTTCTCCTAAGCTCTAAGAACAATTCGGGATTTGTAATTCTTATATTTAATTAATCTTGCGAGATTCACGGTTTGCAATTTTTCACGGCAGAAGAATCTACAAAGATTTCGCTAATGAAAATAATCTTTTAAAAAAAGAAAGAATCTGTGTATCAAAGTCTACCAAGAGATTAGATTTCCAAAATATTATTTAATGACATTGGAGTATTCTATGAGATGCTTAAAATTTTACTGCTTAAGATTTTGCTTAAGATTTTACTTTTTATGGTGTACGCAGAGATGCAGCATGCAATATCGAATTCGGGAAAGCGTCACGCGAACCAACAATACAAAAAGTTTCAACGTCGATAAGACGCAGGAAAGAAACCTGACGAAAGATCCATTGCTGTCCAAGAGCAAGAATCAGAATAAACGTGTCCATGCATATGTAGATGCGGCTGCATCTGCAATGCAGATCTGCGCGACATCAGAGAATCGACCTTCGCGAAACCAAGCAATCTAAAACGTTGTAATTCCGTACAAAATAATTTAAAAATCACAAAATGAATTAAAATTGCAAAAAGGCAAAGCAAAAGAAAGACAGAACTCTTGCTTATAGTAAATAAATTAAAACAGAAATATTAATCCTGGGTGGAATCTTAAAATAATGTAATCGAATTTTATTTATATATAATGTAACTATCAATTTATAAACTATTTACTTATAACTATATATCTATATTATCTTGTATACGTTTAAAAATATGTCTGTTTATGATATGATTTGTTTATAAATAAAAAGGTAAAAATTCTATTATGAAAACATTTTTCAAAGCTTATTTTCATAAAACTAAAAAATCCCTGGAGAGATTCTCAATCAAAATAAATCTCATATAAAACTCTCTAATATAAAACAAAATATAATAAATTATATATAAGTGAAATAATATCTCTAGAAATCGTACTAAATAATATGAAATAAAATCATTAATTTTTTTCTTCTTTCTATAAGTCTCACTGTATAAGTTAATTAATTTTCAAGGAGTTGCTTCTTAAAATAATTTCCTTTGACGGTATAATTTCGCAATCCAGAATGAATTATATCATTCAATTTATAACTGCAACATAAATCCCTTTCATTTGTAATATGGTACATTTTCGCGAAATCGAGCGTTCAAGAAAGATTTAAGAGATCGCAGCTGACTTCCTTTTTCGGCTAGCTATGATGCCATCTTTCTTCTCCACAAGATCCATCCAGACATGTCGTCGATGTCTGCTCGTCCTAAGCGTATCGACGCGAGTAAAGTAGACGCATAAACGTACACGTGTGGAAATAAATCGTTCGTTCGTGTATGCGAGAAAAGATTTAAAAGATCACTTTCGCCTTTCAGAATAAATCTCACTTGCACATTCGTTCGCGAGTCTCGTAAAAATATCGCGCAGAGAATGATATTCCGCCCGAGAAGCTACGAATAGTAGACGCAACGTCTCACGCGAAGATCGAAGCGGAGATTTTTTTCCTTCTCCCTTTATCTTTCGAAACAAAGCGAATTCAGCCAGAATTCTTTTTATGGATCGATCAATGCGCTGCCGAAATGTCGATGCTAAAAATGGTAATCGTGTCATGAGAGCGAAGCAAATGTGTGAGAATAACTGTCTATCATGATGCTAAGTTTTTATAAAAATATCATGAAAAACCTCTGCTTCATATATTGAAAAAATTAAATTATTCAAAGGATTGTCTCTCATTTTATATAACATAAAATTTCATTAATATAATTGCGATTCGATTATAGAGGATATTTGATTTTCGAAATTTAAAAAAAAATGAAAATTCATATCTTATATTTCTCATATATTATAACAACCATAAATTGTTAGATTTTAATTGAAAGTTTATAATTCAATCTTTTCTCAATTTTTAATGAATGCAGAATTTTCAGGGAGAATCGCAGAAATATAAAAAAGTAAAAAGAAATATAAATTTGTCCGTGCAGCATAATTTGTTTTTTTTTCCAATAACATCAGTTCGTGAAATGATGATGTTCGGTTAAATAGTAACTGTGCCACGGGGACAAAGTTACAGACTACACGTGAGTGAGAATAAATCGACCGACTTGTGAGAACGATGACGCGAAACGAGCTAACGTGTCATCGACTGCGACCCGACTGGGACCGCCACTTCCTCCCTATAATGGAAGAAATATCTTCGAAACGTCGATATTGGGGGGATACGAAAATGGCGACGGGAGAGTTCCTCGCACGCCTTTGAGAATGTCGGTCGTGAAATTTATATACTCCATCCGTTGCCAGCCATCTTCGATATAAAGATCAACTCATATAAGTTGCAAATTCTTATTTTTTATTTCATTCTAAAAAGTTATGCGGGAATAATAATTGGTTGGCGTTGCAAATATGACCACCATATGTTTATCACAAATATAGATTGCAGTCGGTTTTGTATTTTAAAAGATGTAAGTACTCTAGTATTTACCATACAGGAGAGAGGAGAATGAATGATCATCAGATTTTCAATTTTATTATATGATTTCAATCAACAATAATAACGTGGCACAAACTTAATATAAATATTATTTATTAAACAATTACAAATTATATCTCACATTTATACTGCAATCTATACGAGATAAACATGAGCGTCAATTCTCTCTTATTGATCCTATTCCTGTTTTGGAACACAGTAAGAAAAGGTCTGATGGTCTCTACCTTGTTAGCGACTTTGTTGCGAAACGACCCTGAGCCAGCAAAGCAAGTTTTCTAATCCGAAAACAGCATCCAGAAGTATCGATAACCAGAATATAGTGTACGTTTCTCGATGGTACGAATAGAAATGTAGCTATTTGTAGATGAGTTGTACACATGAAAAGACGATAATATTTCGAGAAATGCCGTACGTAAAATTATAATGTATATATATATATATATATATATATATATATATATATTGTATATATAAGAGATATATTGTATGTAAGATTAACTTCATACAAAAATTAAATTATTGCATATATTATAAATAACGAGATGAGTTTCATGATTGATTTCTTCTACATCATATATCATTTCTTACTATATATATATATTTGAATGCGAATCTCTATAATATCCTAGATAATGCATGAAAATCTTGAAGCGATATCTTTGAATTCATTTCTGTGCTAGACGTTTAAATATTATCAAAATTGCATATATAGATTATTTCTATATATAAAGCTTGAAATTGAATGTGAGTATTACTAAAGTGCAACTTTCAACTAACTAGAAGTAACTAAAAGTAACTTTATCCATCACGATAATTCGGATTTATGACTGCTAAAACCGTTCTACCGTAATATCTTCTACTCTATTTATAGAGTGTTTTTTTATTTGAGTAGAATTGATTGATTTATTATAACGTCAGTGCGTAATTTAATTAAAAAGACGCAATATATACTGTATACAACAAACTGTGATTGATACAAGATGTATCAAAAAAAGCAATATATTATCACATAGTATAAAATTTATTTTAAAAATTTATTAATAAATCAGATTAGAAAAATCTTTTTTATAAAGACGTACTCGTTTATACAAATTAAAAGATGTCTAAAGTACACTCACCCTCTGCGCCTTCCGTTTGTCAGCACGTTGATTTTGATGATATATTCTGCTGAAATTACTGACGATAACAGGAACCGGTAAAGCGATCACTAGGACACCGCTCAAGGAGCATACACCCCCGACGATTTTTCCCGCAATCGTTTTCGGAACCATGTCACCGTAGCTGAAACAGATAAAAACATTTTTTAAATCAATTGTTCCATAATTTAATGTATATAATCTTAAAAATAATTATTGAAATCTACATATATTTTTAATTATTTTTAATTATTTATTCTCCCCATAATATATCTTTGTTCTTGAATATTAGAGCACTTTCAAAATCATAATTTTGATGAAAACCGAGTATTCGAATATTTTAAGATGCACCTATATGTTTTTAGAGTTTATAAATCATTCAATTAAGAAAAATTCTAAAATTCTCAAGAGTCATTAAATTTATAAATTCTAGAAAATGAGAATATCAAATTTGAATAACATGGTATTATAACATTCGGTGAAAATTCTAGGAAGGTTTCTCGAAATTCAAGTGTATTTTCATATAATTTCAAAAGTAAATATCATGCCTCGCGTAAGATTTTCAAACTCGTGCGATCTCATTCATTAATCACGTACAATTCCAAGCAAATGTTATGTTTCGCATAAGAGCAAGATTTTCAAAGTCGTGTAATCTCATTTATCTCGCGATACTATGTCTAATTCCAAGCGAGCACAACAGAGATACATTCGCGAAACATTGTTAGGGGCATTGTTAGCGGCACAAAACGGCGACAGCTTAGCCAAACGATCCGGCCAAATGTTCAGAAAGCATGATGAAATTATGTATAACTAACGTTGTCGCCTGCGGGGTTAGGAGGATTCGCGTCGCAACGAGAGAAATGGGAAAATGTGGATAATTCATGATGTTGAAGAATTCAACCGTAAAAGGTACGGTCCATCCTCATTTCTCAGCCGTGCGAATGTCCGCCCGTAAAACTTTTCCACGGGTTACACGTGACTCGCTATATAGCTGACCATTTCCCACAAGGTTTCTAACAGTCTCTAGCTCCATTTACATATTTACCGTATATCGGATAGCGTAAACACACGGTCGAACAAATACGCACGATCTCGTACCTATCTGTTTAACTTGTTCTCATGACGAGTTTGCAACGTACTTGAACATTTGCATTCCGCTGGGATTGCGGCGACGATACGAGATGTTGGAGCTTTTTTTCTGTAGGATGCTTATATTCCGGTTTTTTCTTCCGTTTTATTATATTAGTGAAAATTTTACTATTAGACCATGTAAACATCATCGTAATATAATCATAAAATTGAAATATTTTTCGAAATGCGATAGAAAGAAAAATTGAATATTCGAAAAAGAAACTTTCTCATCAGGATGCTTATATTCCTGTTATTTCTTCCGTTTTATTATATTAGTGAAAATTTTACTATTAGACTTGATCATGTAAACATCATCATAATATAATTATAAAATTGAAATATTTTTCGAAATGCGATAAAAATAAAAATTGAATATTCGAAAAAGAAATTTTCTCATCTTCTATAACGTAAAATACTATTTTAAATCAATATATGAATATATATTTATTAGATAAAAGAACTCTTTATTTCTCTTGTTCGTAATCTATCGCAAATTTGTCGTTTAGATTAGCTCGTAGCTGATGAACAGTTTGAGATATTTCACGCAAACTTTCTTGCTTCCTGCTGACAAACAACATCGAGCATTTTTTCGTGCTTCAATAATTTTTCATATGCAAGATATTTCCTTTTGATATTTCGAGAAATGTCTCATCTTTTTATATCGATCCCCTTCTATTTCACAATTTATTTTATGCATATCGGAATTTCCCATTAATTTTATCCTATTGCAAGATATTTTCCATTCAAGCAGCGCAACTTCAAATAATGCAATAAATGTCAAATGTAAATTTAAGAAATAATATAATAAAGAATTTAATTTAATTTGAAATTCTAAGATTTATAAAATTTATCGGAACCAAAATTAATCAAAGAATTTATAGATACAACAAATAATTATATAAATATTTTATTATGTGTGCCAAATTAACAAAATTTAACACTTTTAAAGTTTTACATTCAAAATCATATGAGATATTTTTCTATTTCGATTATTCAAAAATTTAAAAAAGAAAAAAAGTGTCAATGTTTGACACTATGAAAATTGATATGAAGTGAGAATCATATTATTGGGGACACAGAAACAACATTATACTGCGCACAATGGCAATCGTTTATTCTGCCGACATGCCTTACTCGAGAGATCAAACGAAGGCTAGAGAAAAAGAGAGAACGCCGATGGATAAAATGAAGTGTAATGGATCGCACTCGACAGCTACAGATCGTTTCTTTTTCCAGCGAATTTCTCGGGTCGCACGCAATTTTGGGTTGTGATGGAGTAAAGTAAAGGAAAGCTTCTGCAAACGACGTGACACGCGCTTGAAGAAAAAAAATGTTTTCGCTAAAAATGAGCGATTGTTCAATATCCTACGTAATATTATCACAAAAATCTGTCATTTATAATGTCTATACTATTGAAAAAGAAATATGCTTAAAATCCTATAACCAGTGAAACAATTGTTAATTCAATTCAAGAGCAGCAGAAAATTTAATATTTTTAAATTTTAAATTATACAAGTTTTGAAATATAAAAAAAAAATAATTTTTTTCAAACAAAAAAGATACAAGAATCCAAATTTTTAAATTTATTTCAAAAGAAATTTCAAAAACGATTCGTTATCTTTAACAGATGAAAAATATAGATAGAACTATTGAAAATTTTCCAAACTCTCAAGCATTTATGTATAAATCGGATTGAGTAAATATTGGTATAATTTTTTAATGGTTTTTTATGTTTTATTTAAGTATCTCTCTATATGCAATTAATTTAATATTATACTGTTTTACTATTCTATTTTATAAATAGATATATCTTTCTGTCACATATATAATCGATACTCGTCTCTCTATCAAAAGTACAAAAAAAGAGTGAAAGTCGACCTGAAATTACGGGTCACACAAACTTTCGCCCGAGCTCGGTTTTCCCGATAGGCAATAATTTTTCTACACCCTACGGTCCTTCGGGCCCATTCCTCGACCCTGATTTACGTTTCCCACGGACTTTTATAGCGACCATGAAACTCGTCCTAGTGGGATCTCACCTGATGCTCGCTTTCTCGTATTTCGCGCACGTGATATTACGCGTGATATCGATCTTTCTCCTTTTTCACGCCTTTTATTTATTTAACAAATAATCTTTTACGTGGTCAATTACTATCGAATTGTTCACGTTTTTTATTCTTTTATTATATGAAAATATATCTATTATACAAATAAATATATTTCTCAGTTTAAACAAGCTAAAAAAATATTACATATATTAAAATTAATAAATATAGTTGAACATAAGAAATATTCTTATTCGACAGAAAAATAATAAATATTAAATGTGCATTAAAACTAATTAATACATTAATTAATCCTAATATTGCATTAAAAAAGAAAGATGATATCAGATGAAATGAATATTCTAAAATATCTATATGATGAGAAATAATAAACTTATTATAAAAAAGATAACATATAAAAGTATTACATATATAAAATTTAATATTTTTATGCAAATCTTTTATCTTTGCACGAAGCACAGAAAAAAATAATTTAAAATGAAAATTCACTAAATTAAATTTAATTAAATTTAATTCCACAAATTATATAACATTTCATTATTTAAGACTTCCTTTATCGCAAAAAGGATTGAAAATTGTCAATATTTTTACACTATTTTTATGTAAATATATTGTAGAAAATATAAAACTACTTTTTTATTTTGTTTTACAATTTTAGTACGTTTATTCTACGATTAAAATAGATAAATATCGAACATAGAGGATTTAAAATGGCAGGACGCGAGTTCAAGGCAACATTGTCGAGCCGATGTAGACTGACTTTTCTTACTTGTCAATGTAGCTGGGACACGCGACGGTAGCGAGTTTAGAACCGACGAAAACGTAGGATTAGTGATCTATATTTAGACAAGCACGCCTTGGGCGGTCGCCCGAGCAACTACCTGGGGTTTACCAGGTCGAATTCGCAGTTAAATCATAAATAACCATTGTCAAAATAAACAAAGAAGACTTACCATTTTTAGAAATTATATAAAATTAATCTAAATTTTAATTAATTAAGTATCCAAATCAAATTTAACGTTTCACATGTTTTTCGATACACATGTTGAAAATTTTTGGACATGAGATATAAGTTTCAATTTCTTCCTATGATATGATAAAAACAATATATTATAATATACCTATCGTAATTTATATTTCGTAATTATGTGACTAATATTTAATTGACTTTTTTACTTTTTTGAACAATTCAAAATCCTTTATTAAAAATCTCTAAAATTTACTTGATACTTATTATCAAATAAGCAAATAAAAAAACAATATTTTATTATCTATTTCTTTATTCTTATAGTTTAATTTATGTAAAGATTAAACTTTTGCTATTCGTATAGTTTAATTTATGTAAAGATTAAACTTTTGCTATTTCTCTTTTTATATTTCTTAACTTCCTTAACTTAACTTATGAATAAACTTACAATCATCTCCACGATATTATCTAAAAAAGTTCGCGAATCCAAAATTGGTCAAGAAATGTAACGATAGAATGAAAAACGATCAATCGAATATTTTATCGTATTTAAAATTAAGTCAAATTTCAATAAATGCGATAGAACTATTATACAAACTTTTATAGAATTTTTCGATAGATATATTTTGATTTTAATTTCTAATTAATTTTATATAAAGTTTCAGAAAAGTTGTGATATATAAATCTAGAAAAAAAATACAACGAGAAAGAATAGTATGCAATTAATTTTTATATCACATATTGCAATAAACTTCAACTTGTGAGAATCGTGCTAGCTTAAAGAAGATAAAACTTTCGCGAGATCTTCTGAATACCAAAGAGTTTCCGTGAATTAACGAAGTTCGCAAACTGCATGACGCCGTTGTCTTCGCGATTTTCCTTAACTCGTTTCGTCACGAAAACAGCGTACTTATAATGTACGCGAATAACTATGCGAGAATATTATAAGGACGATCAGAATACACAAGGAAATACAATTGA